CTACAATGAACAAGAGATTTAGAAGTTATATGTATTTTCTCCGTTACGTAGTTTTAGTTCCTTGCATCACCCCTGAGCTAGGAAACCCTTGATAAAAGGATAGCATAAAGAGATTTGAGGAAGTAAATATCGTTACGTAGCCCATTTAAACCAGACAAGACTGACAACAGCATGCATTGCATTGACTGACTGAATAAACGACCGAAATAAAACTTTGATATCTAACCGAGTCTCAGGAGCACTCAGACGATAAAGAAAAGCAACCCTTTGATTACCATTTTAGCCCGAACTACATTCATCATGTTTGTTTCCAACCCTTTTTTAAACAATTTTGCCATGTCTGAATTTCGTAATTTATGAAAATTTCCTGTTTTATGCTGATTGACTTTCGGTGCTATGTGCCTTACTTACCACGAGGTGTGGCTGTTCTAGTGAACCACGAAAGTTTAGAAATAGCCACGCCGAGTTCTAGTAAATTTGATTTATAGTGAATTTACTGAAGCATTACATAATTAGGAAACTACCCCACTTCTCGGAAAACTAATTAATCAGCAGGAAGTTGCACAAATTGTCAATACTCACAACAAAGTTTATAACAGAATTAAATGTTCAGGCGTACAATGGTTTCCTCGACGTAACTTTGCAATAAATAGAACCCCCCTCAACTAGTCAAACAAACCCCTAAAAGTGCTATATTGGTCTGCTTTCCATTTTAAGATTTGGTACAACGAACTCTGGTTTCGCGAGTTTCAGGTGAACAAAGTAGTTTGTCAAAGGAAGTAAGTTTGATTGCATTTAATCCTACGTAGCCCTTCATGATCATCCACGTCCTATGTTTTTATGTCAATTTGGGGTTAATTTTTAAGGTGGGAACGGAAGTGGGATATTGCTGAGGTGTAGCCTTCGTGGGAACTTGACGCCTTCGTAATTTTAGAAACATTGGACTAACAATTTGAACGCGATATACACATAGCGGAGAACAGCTTCGTACCCTCCACCATATGACAATTCCGATCCACACCTGCTGCCCTGTTTCGCCTTCATCCCACCATATCCTGTCAGCCTCTGTGCAAAGTTTCAAAGGGATGAGAGCAAAAGTTTTGTGGTGTTTTGTATGCAAAGCTTACAATAAAATATTTTATTGTAATTGTCCAGTACAACAAGTCCGAAGAGAATAGCTATACTTTTAGCTATTACTATATAGTTCTATGAGCCATACGCATAAAATGTCCATGTATCCATGTGGAGGTTAGTGCGAAAAGCGATTCAAAATTGTGCAATCCCCCTTGATGGAATAAAATCATACATACTTATCGAATTTGGTTAGTCTCCATTATTTTTCTTGTTATGCGTTTCATTTCAAAATTTAAAATGCAACTTGCACAAGTATGTAGAATATGTATTCATGCATTATGAATGCATAATAATATAGTCCCATGAATCCTGGTCCTTATTCACTCACATATTTAGTCTACATTTCTTCACTTGTACATTTATTAATCAACACAAGCAGTGTTGTTGTGCACTGCAGAAAACAAAGGCAAGCCAACAGGTGACAGGTGGAAGTCTGCTTTCTAGGAATTGTTTTCGCGAATTATTTGGTTTCTTACGAAATAACAAAGTCCACCGGAAAGAGTAAAGACCTATCCACGATAGGTCTGCAACTGAACCATTCATTCTCAAGAATGTTGATGAAAGCTCTCCACGAACTGTCGCCCCACTTAACTTTTCGAGACATTATTAGACGAAAAGGAGAACAATGAACCAAGAAGATCGCCTCACACACTGTACGAAAACCAGATGCTATACGTATCTGAGAGCCGTGTAAGTGCGAGAATAATGTGATGTGATTGACGATGAATATAATGCGAGTGATCTTCGCAGGAAGAAGTGAGAATGGATGGCAGTTCTCCAGAATTCTTATTCTCTAAGAGGAGCGAGACGGAAGGAAGAAGTTTCTCACATCACTAACCAACAGAGTCGTTGACTCTTATCGGACGTAGTCTCATTTTCCTCCTTGTTTGTCATATAGTTCAATAAATTGTTCAAACTTCATCATAGCAGCAGCGCACCACCACAATTTCTCGAGCTCATTGTCGCCTGACTTGAATACACTCGTCCTCACCCTTTCTTCTTGCATACAGCCAGCAGCAGCCTCCTTTCACAGATTGCTCAAGATATTACGAGATATTATTCACGATATAGGCCAGGCCACCACCATGCCACTCACTCAGTCGAGGTAATCATTCCCGTCTTTGCAAAATTCGATTTGTGATTCAGCAACAGCAGAGGCACTTGAACCGTCATTCATCTCAACCCAAGCAGAACAAAGCAAACTCACGGTCCAGTGTGTTTCTGTAGGGCTATGCGAATGTATGGGAGTGGTGGAGAAAATATCGCACAGATTTCATCAAGTTACCAGTTTTAGGATACTGTTCAGCCATTTAAATACAAGTCGGTCGTTGGTTTCTCATCTCTCGAAATTTTATAGGAAATCGATCGCTAGCAACCGCACCACAGCCATGCAGACATGGATGAGTGAGAATTTGTGACAAACGACGGAGGCTCATTCTTGTGTAATAGAATTCTCCAATTCAATTCAATTGCTGACAATTTGGTAGTAGCTTCAAATTTCAAGGGGAACATTGGACTTTGCTAAGGGAATTTTGGCTGTTACTATGAAATGTCATGCCACAACAGCAGTACTACTCGAATTAACTGGTCATTGATGCCAAACAGCAGAGTATTTTGAACTCACATATTGGTTTTGATAATGGTCTATAGAGTCACGGATAACGTTGGGAGTGTTATGCTAATTTCTAATATTTGGTAGACCATTGTTGGATCGTGGAAAATTGCCCTGAGATATGCTTTCTCCACTGTGAAATCATGATGTCATATCAAAACATGACTTAAACATATGTAGTATCAGATTGTATCAGATTGAAGATGACGTATATATTCGGTTATTTTTGTATAGTATGGAAACTCTGAAAATGTGTTTCTGCGTAAATTACTCGTAACATATCAAATAGAAGGTAAGTGCGTGAGAGTTATTCAATTCTAATAAATCCCTCTCATAAAATATTCTATGCATTTTTATCCTCATACATGTCTCAAAGATTTATTATGTTTCTTCAACCTGACTTCCAAAGACCTCGAAAGTAGAGTACTGCACAGGAGACAACGGAAGAGCTCATCACAATACATCACTATGGAGGATTTATGGGGAATTCGAAATTGCATTGAATTTTGATGAACCCAATTTCCTTGTCAATTCTAATCCAGTCAATGAACTTTGACGCACTCGTGTGAATAACAAAACATGCGACGTGCAAGTTGAACCTTCCGTAGCTGTCGGGGTCTAGTAAATATGAATTTAATTAAGTAGAAATTCTGTCTGGAGCTCCAGTCCCAAAGGATGAGTAGCTTATCCAGCACATGGCATGATGTTGGCAGGGAACTTTTTTCGCACGCAGCCACATACAATGATCCTTTCGACCCCTATGTAACATTACTCATTTGTATGTATGAGAAGTCTTATAAGGATTTCAAAGAATATGCTGGACTATTTTTGTCAAGTTTTAAGTCGCACTTTGCCATTGTATACCTATGACTAAGAAGACTGTTTTTTTGTCAAACCTTTACACGTGAAACTTAAAAGGACTTATTACTAAGGACTTATTCCTAAGTTCCGGTTTCCTTGTTGGAAAGGAAATCATTTTCTCCAAGGGTATCAAATTGCCAATAATATATGCAAACCCTACTACGTATCATGTTAACCTTCAACTGCACGTCAAAATCTGTCGACTTCCAAAGTTGAAAAGATAAATGGTGCGGTTATAAGAAACAACGCAAAAACAAAATGGATGTGCAGATTTTAGCATATTGCTCTTATCCCGACCTTTCATTCCTATACTGCGCCGAAGGTAAATTGGAATAACTTCAATAGCAACGAATGCATCAACTTTGAGCCCACACAAAAATTTGAAATGCAATTTATTTGTTGTAATATATGATGGTCCTAAATAATCTGGAACAGTAAACAAACTGGTTCTTCCTATTCATCAATTCTCGTTTTGTTGATCTAGGTGTAAGTGAGCAAACATATCCACCCACGCATTCGCATCCCACCATAATAATAATAGAATATGTGCATGCCAGCTAAATTGTGTGCGCAATTACTTAACCTGGTGCAACGTGTGGTTGGGAGATCGTATTAAAAAATTGGACAATGAAGATATAAAACATTGGCGATAGGTAGGTTAGCAAATGGTGGGGACGTAAATTTCGAATATGTAACTGATTGTCGGCGGCGTCGTTGGATAAAAGTGTGCCCATGTTGACCATTCATCACAATGGAGGAAATTAAATAGATGACAGTGGAGGAGTTAGAGTAAACATCACCTAAATACGTAAGTTTTCCCATTGGGTGGATGGATCGTGGGTTTTGGGGAAAACAACAACCTGGAATTGAGGTCGTCTGCTGCGTAAATCGAGAAAACTGTGCTGGAGAAAGTAGAATACATGGGGAAATTGAGATTCGTGTATGTAACGCACAAATGATACGCGTAGATGATACGAAACGAATGGAAATGGAAGGGCAGTTAGTTCACCTGCCATAGTTCTGACTCCCCTGCCCTCTGTGTTGCCGTAGCTCAACTATGTAGCTCATAGTTCCCTAACTCCTTCAGAGAGCGCAACAAGAACATTTTATAATACAACGGGCTACTTGCTACCCTTGCGTTATCCTTTACAATTACATTTTCCAAATAATCAACGATAAATCGCAGAATTATATTAGAAGATAATTTGCTTCTTCAAACGAGGTACTACTGAGACAAAAGTTATACTTTAGCAGTGTAGTAATACAAAACTCTTTATGGCAAATAACCCAACTCTTTAGAGCTGCCGTACCTGTATTTATGCTCATCGTCATCCTTGGTTAACATGATAAGCAATATAACAAAATTATATAGTGGTAAAGAACAATAGCTTACCTGAGTAAAATACGAGGGCAGAACGCATCTCTGGTCGTCCAAGCGACTGTTCTGCAGTCTTTCCAGCATTTCAAATAGGTCTGATGACGCTCCCTAAATATAGTCACAGATTGTTGGGGTTAACACCCATTATTATTTTTGCACAAGTTCGCAGATTTCTCCATTTTTGGACAAATCATAAATGCTAAAGGTAGACAGATATACCACTTAAACGGAAGAATGTGGTTAGCATGCACGCCGATGCTCATGTCTAGAAATTGCATGCATAATACGTACAATTTTGTATCGCAGGAGAAAGCTAAAAATAACAAACCCAGTCCCGATAGACCATATACCACATCATGCATCAATTTTTAAAACAGCTTTCACCGTACGTAGCTTGCAAGTTTGGTGAAAAGTTGTGCGCTCAATTTTCATAATTCAGAAGATGATGAACACGTCTTGCCTTGAACAGCAAAAGGAGTCAGAGTCAAGGATGCTGATGCTGATGTTTACATAATTTTGAAATCAAATTATACCCAGAACTGTCTGGAGCTACTCTGCAACAGAATCTCTACAGTATTACAAAAATTGAAGGAGAAAGTTTATTTTTAACCTTTAGTGAAAGTCTTAGGATATTCGGGTAAATGAATTATAAATAAGTGGCAATATCATCAAGACCATGATTCAAGTATTACTTGCGCAATGATGTCGTTTTACAAAATCGAGTTAAAGGGTCACCTTGACTAGTCAACTAGCAAGACTTTTCTAATTCTTTTATGCGACTGACTGTGAATGCAAGATTGCCTGACAATTTAATTTTGCTCTTTCAAACTGATTTTTATGAGACGAAGTTAATTTCATCATTACCCTAATTTTTTTTTCATGTAGTGCTCAAAATAAAATAATAATTGCGAGTCCGTCTATGATTCACTTTGACGTCATAGATATGAAATGTGCAATTACATATGTCTCATATTCCCTTTTTGCAAATTATATTCAATGGATACTCAGGTTTAAACGGAATTAATGATTATAATTAGGCTCTCACCAGTACTTTGTCTGCGGATTCTCTGCGACTGGTCATCGCCGACGCCGCCGTGGAGTCAAACGAGGAACGGTGGGAGGCTAGGGCTTCCATGTTCATGTTGTTACGCCTGAAATAAATATAAAACACGTTGATGAGATAATGAATTAATGATGGAGTTGCACTAGTGGCTACAAAATTACATAATAATCAGGGAAAACCACAGTGTACTTCACAAATACTTTCACCAGGAATTTTGTAGTCTTAACGCAACATGTGATAACGTGATTATACTTATGTAACTACTACGCCATTATAGGCGTAGATATGTATGTACACAGATGCCTCTTTAGTATTGTGACTACCTGTACGAGTTAGATATCAAAATCGCTATTTATGCTTGTACATAAATACATACTCGTCAATATTTTCATCTCGTTACCAAAATTGGGCGGTTTCAAATGTGTGCCATAGTTGTCAACCAAGTCTTACAAAAGCGTAACTGTATTGACTTGACGTCATAAAGGATCGCAACAACTCGAGTATGGATTAGAGGAATAAAGTAGAGCTTACAACATAGCCTTTCGCTGTTGCAGTGGCTTCGACTGTAATCTCACACTGATAATTCCAGCAACACGGCGACCTGCCAATTTAAATCGCTCACTCACAAAAAAAGTCGTCAGGTAAAGTGGATTAAATACGTAGGACAACACCTGTGCCTCTCGACGTCTTTCAAGGGTTGCAACTGTTGCAAATAAGCGTCTTTTCATACTGACTAGAGACGACGAAGAAAAGTGTTACGTACGTCGTTAAGACCTTGTGATTCACTTTGCTTTTGTAGAGAATAGTTCGTTAGGAAGTAAGCTTTAGATCCACCTGGAAATTGAAATCTGTCGCTAGTCCATAATGTATCGAGCCGTCTCATGTAACAACCTTCTTTTCAAGGGCATCATATAAGCTTCACAACAAGATCCAAGACTCATTTGTACGAAACTTTCTCTAAAGATTATATCCAAATTACAAAAGGATGTGCAACTTGGTGCGCGCAAACTTTTTATATAAATATAGCCCACAGGTTCGCTCAAAGAAGTTTCGACTTATCGCTTTTTGAATTCAATGCAAGATTCATCCATCGTCATGTGCACTGCGCAGTTACATATCGTAAAATAAATACAAATACAAGGAATGGGAGATACCATCCAAAAAATCTGCATGAAACCGTTCCTTCGTGTACTGCGTTACAGGGCAGTATGAATGTATAAGCGCTTATAAAATCAATACATGTATTTACCGGTGGCACTTTTTCGTCGATTGTTTTGTAAAAATAGTGAATGTTCAGAAAAAAAACTTTATTTGATTGATGACGAATTGTAATTATCTCCAATACTATAGAACAATTCGTGCATAGATATTGTGTTATAATTACGAAAATAGTACATACATATGTTTACCAACTCCATATACACAATTTAATATTGACATAAGCATGACTGGCGGTTCACTTTTGTATCAATTTATTCACCTTCTGAATGAAATGTAGTCCAGCGAAAGAGCAAAATCGATTATGTATATGAGTTGTATGCTATTTTTAGAGTGGGCGAACCAAATAGTTCGGAACATGAAAGTTAATAATAGGATAAACGAATGATATGTTTCGTTGGGTGCTCCAATTTCAATTTCAATTTCAAGCCACAACATGAAACTATCCCTGGTATCTCATTTTGGTTGTCAGTTTGAGAAATTCTCGAGCGACTTTCGCCACTTAAATGCTCGTTATTCTTTTTTCAAGGTTTTCTTGTTTATGTTTTCTTGTCACTAGACAAAGAGAAAAGTTTTCTGGAAGGTGTTCAAATCAGAGTCGTAGTCCCACGGGAGAAAGGTGAACACAATTGAACAAGTTTTCTCTGACAGAGCAAGAATAAAACAAATTCGTACTTTCTTCAAGTAAATAAACAAAAAAAATCAATCCGTGAAATCCTTTTAGCTGACTCCGTATAATCGCTTTGTAAAGTAACCCAATACTACATTTTCTACTCAAGCTTAAGTAGAAGCTCTTGTGAAGTAAGGTTTGTATCATTGATAATTCATGGATAATAAGGCCACCTAACTTTCTCTTTATGTATTCGATACTCAAATCAATTATGTATGTATGTATACTTGAAACGAAAGAATGAATTTACGGAGGTGGATACATACTCACATTTCCCGATATTAAAAACTAATTCAATTTTCGTCATGCGTGAAATTAAAGACAATGCAAGCATCATTCCAGCAAAACATGAATGGCTTCCATTACCAATTTACCAAGTACATCACAATTATTTGTAAGTCTACCCATCTCGAACCTTTGACGTAACAGCTCAGATCACTCCATGCCAATTTATCATCAAGAGAACAACAATATAACTTTGTTGCAACTTGACAGCCGTGAGATGATGAACGTGACATAATTCCCACTTGTGTATACTTCGTATCAGTTTACAATCTCTAATAATAATAAAATCCTTGTGTCACGTATCGTATCATGACATATAACAGTGCATTCGCAATGTGTGTACGTATGTGTGTATGTAGAGTAATAACTTTTTTATGACGTGTATATGTCAACATGGTCAGTTGGGAACCACGTTTATTTTTAATATTAATCACAATAAAATGATTTAACTGACAGAACAGAGTTTTTGCAAGTAAGTGATGTTTTGTATTGTCGACAAATTAATCACACTGATATCAATCTTATCAGCAGAAATCTTATCCCTAATTGAAAATGCTTGTAGACATCCTCATAATCATTTCACAACATCAAAAGCACGTCGTTTCAACATTAGTTCCTATTTTTTCAAGTGATTCCTCAAGTTTTATAGCTAAAAAATACTACCTTAATTAAAAAATAAGGTAAATACGAAACGTTACATAACATTTAAGGCACCGTATTTTTTTAGTAAATGTCTCCAATGTTTCGCTTGTTTCTTTTGTGTTGCAATTTATTGTCAACATTTTATCCGATAAATGGACAACTCGATCCAGGGACACGACTTCAAATAGACGAACTCATTGAAAATGTGTACATGGCTGAGAATAATTCCCCAGCGCTGGGGCTGGGAGTGGTGAAAGATGGGCAAGTTTACTACAATACGGGTTACGGGCTACGGGATATTTCCAACGGAATAGATGCGAATAACGACACTTTGTTCTTCATTGGGTCCAACTCTAAGGTATCTACATACATTTCGCATATGAGTTCGGTCATCCATCCATCCCCTTCTTTTAATCTAATTAATGCCCTGCGGTAGAATTTCTCTGGCTCATATTTCTAATTACTGTCAAAATATACATGGAAAATTGGATGTCATATTTTACCCAACAGAGTTTCACTGCCATACTAGTGATAAAAGTACTACATGAACATTTCCCGGAATTGCATGAATCGGTGCTGGATACTCCCATCGCTCGGTTACTTCCAGCTTACAATTTTACACTGATTGACAGGTAAACTACATACACGAGGATTTTGGTAACTTTATTGCTCAGTCAATTGAATTGACTCAATTCCTGGTTTTTAAACATGTGAGTTAAATGTCACTGATAGATATCGATCCGAGAGAACAACTTTTCGGGATATTTTGTCACATCGCACAGGAACCCTGCCTGAAGGAGTAGGGACATTTTTCGGGGCCATCAACGAAGCTTCAGAACTAATTTAGTATAATGTTACACATTTCTTACCTAATGGCACCAATATTGTGTACGCATGAAATAACGAGGCAATTTATGATAATTTTTCATACGTAGCAGACAAAGATATGCGCCGGTATGGTTCCATTTCGTACAAATTTTGTGTATGACAACGGATATTTTTCCATGGCTGGAGAGCTGGCTGCAGGTCAGGTGTACCTTACTTGACCATGGTATTGGAAATCAAGTTCACCACCAATAATGCACCTTTAATCACAATAATAAAATAGTAAACTTGTATTATAGTTGGACAATTTATTTGCTCAACTTGATATGCAGACGACGACCTACATCAAAGTATCGGATGACCACGACAACATGCCAAATAGGGCTCTGGGCTATTTCCTATTAGACGGACAATTGGAAAAGTACAATTCCGAACTGTACAAGTAAGAAATCTGACTTTATGAGATTTCTATTTTGGAGTTTGCATCGCCTAAGTATTTTACCATCCCATTTTCTAGACGCACAGTTCCAATGAATGCGGCAGGGGGAATTCTGAGCAGTATGAATGATATGGCAAAGTACATGCAATTTATTCTGAATAATGGCCGTGTCGGAGATGTACAAGTAGTCCCAGAGGTGAGGTGACATGATTTGCATGCTATTGTCGTTTTACAAATTAATGCCTGGGCGGATATGTGTATTTCCAGGAGGTTATGAAGTGGTTGCAAACACTGTCCAATCCTCTCCCCTCGAGTGGGAAGTTAACAGTGGTAAATGATAAGATGGCAACTGAGCTGGGTTACAGCCTGGGATTATTCATGGGTGTCTATGATGGTATGCTTCACCTAAATGCATACTAGTACGAGATATGACAACCTTGAGCCACATTCTAGTTGTAAGAGTTACGTATTGGAATTAGACATATGCCGTAATTGCACAGGTTGGCTGACAGTGTACCATGGAGGTTATCTCACGCCTTTCAACAGTCAGATGTCAACATTTCCAGAGCTCAATTTAGGCATTTTCACCGTAACGAGCGGCCCTGGTCGGTTGTTACCTAATGTCAGCCATGCCACCCTTCACTATGATGTGTTCGACATCATTCAAGGTCAAAGGTTAGTTGTCAGTACTGTATACCAAACTAATGACATTGCATCAAAATACATCCTAACAGAACGGATTCGTTGGTGAATGTTGACGACTAAATGCTTAAACGTCATTTAAAGACAATTAAAAGTGTCGCCACAACCACAACAGACGAATAGAGCTGGCTCATGCATCATTCCTTTTGACAATTGGAGCAACGTCTACGTCAGAAAAGCCACGACAATAGAGAGAAAGGACTTTGCCACAGATGCTGGATTGCTGCAGGATGAAGAAATAGTGGGGCATTACGGAAATGGGCAATCAGGTGAACAACGCGTCATCCATACCCTCAATATTTCTGTTTTGTGGTGCACTGAATTTGTTCACTTGTAATTTACCTCTTTGATCTTATTCTACTTTTATTTGACGCGACAGGAGAGTTTGACGTAATTCAAAAACTAAACGGGAGTGGCGATTTTCAATTGTACCTGAGCTACGGACAATGGGGTCAAGCTTGGTTGAGTCTCTTGCCTGGAGAAGAAAGTTATAACTATTTGCTCGTGTGGGACTCTGACATTGTACAAGAGTTTTATGCAACTGACCCATCTTCGGAAATAATTGCTGTTTACGATCGGGTTGTTCGCAGCATTACGTTTCTAGAAAACGGATATCCAACCGGAACGTATTTGAGGGATCAATACTTGGATGATCTCCCAACGACTCCATGGGAAGCTGGCTCTTGTGGACAGCAAACTATATGAAAGATCAGTAGGGCTACAAAGGTGAAATGTTAGGAATATAATTGCCTGCCTAAGAAATAAAAAGAGGTGAAAATACCAGACTGCATAGTTAGTACCATAATTGACATATTTGGAAGAAGAATTCAGCTAACTATACCGTATTTATTTGCATAGCTGTGTAGGATTATGTGACCAGCAGGGGCATTATCGTCCAGGTGGTGGTATAGTAATTTTCATTAATCAGCAAGCCCAAAGCCAGTGGTGCTCTTTTCTCGCGTTGGTCGTCAGTCTAGACGTCGACGGAGGGGACTCAGTAGTTTTATGAGCACTCCCATCCCTAAACAGACGGATATGCCCATTCGTTTTCAGCGAGCGGAATGGGCATATACGTCCCTCACTTGCAAATAAATAAAATAAAATCTGGGAAGGGAAGACCCATTCCTTTTCAGTGAGAGGAATGGGCATACACGTCCCTGGTTTTTTGAAAATTAGTGTTTTCTCCTGATTTTTTCGTAAAATTTCAAAATTTTAAAAACCGCAATGGACCAAAAAATACATAAATTAACACTGAATTTTATAAAAATTTGAAAAAAATTATTCCCCATTGCGAAAAAAAGTTATGTTGTTATAATTGGTTGCTGACGCCTACTTGACCGCCCATGGGAACGCATGCATGCCCACTAACTACGTAAAACGCAGCATTTTAAGCGTAATTTCACGGGGGGTGGTTATATATATGTATATATATGCTAAATTCAGCACATCATTATTGAAAGTCACCTTCAAATCTCTTGTAATCATGTATTAGCAACATGAAACATACGTATTAATGTAAATTTACATTTGATTCTCTTATTGCAACCCATTCCAAGACTTCGCTATGCTAAGTACCCCCAATGAGAGACCCTCAAGTACTAGCGGCAAATACAAAAAGCCAACACGTGTCAAAAACCAACGGGTTATACAAAACATAAGCAATGCTTACTAAGCATCATTTTGTTCACCGGATAAATAGTAAAAATAATGGAAAGCATAAACCCGACCCCACCAATTTGCTCTTGCGTTGTTTGAGATTTCCAGACATTGACAATCAGAATTTAGTGCAAACTGACTTAACATTCACAAGTATTGAGACAGGAATGGCTTATTACCACGTTGGGTCCGTAATTTTTCCTTTGATTGTGCTACCACTAGCAGCCTATTGTTAATTGCGTGAACGTCGTAACCCATGAAATAACAACTCGTTTTTCAGTGGCATTCTGAAAAAACTATGTTGCTAAGATTATTACTTTGGTAAAATTCACAATGACGGTAATGTATTTCGCTTAGGTACTGCTAATCTTACTGAAGTTGCACACAAAGGTGTGAACTTTATGAATGACATAACCTTCGTCACTTTGCATTTTGAAACCAATCTTTAACATGACGCAAGCGTAAAAAGAATGGGATTACTTGCAAATATACTTGGTAAGGTTTTCCCTAACATTACCATCAGACAAAATTATGACGTCTGTTGATTTAACTTCGTGTATGGCAACTCTTAAGAACTTTCACATGCTTCGATTTAGATTGGCTGTGGCTTTTTGTGACTGTGCCTGTTCTTTTTGACATTGTTCGCTGAGAAAATATTAAGCATTCGCGAAAATATTTATTTTTGGCTTCACGACATTAACGATGAGTAGTCAAGTGAGTAGGAAAACGAAGACCATAGTGAGGACCACGAGGAATAAACGACTTATTATTTCCCATTATCATATTATATTTTGCTTACTTTTACTTACATTTGTATCATATTATCTTAAATTTCGTAATTTTACACATTGTTATAACGTTACATATTATTATACAAAGTCGGAGATGTGAAATGCTTCTGATTTAAAAACCAGAAAAACGTTGATTTCAAATTGTAAAAAAAATATATCGAAGTTGTAATAAGTTCGTAATTAGCATGTAATTATCTGGATATAATTACTGGACTAATTTTTTGGCGAACACTTAAAATTGACCACCTATGCGCGCGTGCTAGCATTTCCCTCTTGGAGGAGAATTCCCAATCTAGAAGTAACTCGATTCGAGGGATGGGCGCGCTCACTACGAGGGATGGGCATTTCCGTCTGCTTAGGGATGGGAGTTCCCATAAAACTACTGGGTCCCCTCCGTCGACGTCTAGACTGGTCGTTGGTACATAGATCTCGCCACTAAATTACACTCGCCATCTTGTCATGTCAATTTATTGCACACAATGCAGCTCTTCTCCAGAGTATAAGACTACTCGGGTGCTCTATATTTAGTTGTGACCTCAAAACCCAATGTTGGATAACCCGTGAGCCAGCTAATGCGCACAGTAATCTTTTTCTAAGCACGAACAACCTTTCACCCTTTCCGCTCCAAGTATCATGTACGTATAAGCGAAATTGGAAATTTCCGGACTCTTGGGACTCCTTGCTTTCTCTTGGCTATTTTCCGAGCTTGTGCTCTTAATTAATTCCGATTCAAAATTTTTAGGTTATGTAACTTCGCTATAAAGCTTTTCCCGAGTTCTCCAAGACTTTATGATGTAACCAATAATAATAAGGACCAATTTCGTTGTAAAAAACAACCCATTTCGTACCACTAAGATCACTTTCAACTCTTTTACTCAAATATTTGTCTTTGCTTTCAAGTTGGACCCCATAAGAAGACGAGCTCGTCAAAAACGCCTTTGTTGACTTGAACGATCCATTGCTGTGAGCGAACAAGGTCTTTGAGCAAAGTTTAAGAAGATTAGCAAATGTTGTGTGCTGCTGCTTCCATCATCGCAGACAAAATTGATTAATTTTTCTTTATTGCATGAATTCATATCTATTTTCTGGGAAGCTTATGTCTACATACACACATCATAATAAAAGTTCACCACAGTTCAAGCAGGTACTTGCTTGTTTGGCTTGCCCAAAGATATTAATACAGCTTTTAAAGTAATCCAATCGAAAGTGTGTGCATTAAATAAATTAAACCTCCAGCGTGTCGTGTGTGCGTGAGTGAGGCAAAGGCTGGGTTTAAATACGTTGAGGAGTTATGATTCAAATATTTTACATTTTCTATTATGCTTTTTGTGGAGTTACCCATATAAGTGAATACACTTTCGTTTTACCAGAGGTTGCTGCAAATTAACCCATTTACATGATAATGCATTTCTTCTGTACACATATAAATTATACATAAAAGGTAAGCTAATCTCTAACCCTGTCGCGGTCTGTCCAGTTCTATGTGCAGAACGATATCCAAGAGTAGTTTACGATCAAGATTCATATTTGGATTGTGTAACTATGAATATACGGCAAGTAAGTTCAGGTGTTAATCTTTCACGGCGGTTAATGTCCAGCACATGACTATTATATGCACCAAAAATTGAATCTCATGTTTCCGAATTTTCATTAAACAAATACTGGAAAATTTTTTAACTATGTGTACGTGATATTTTACATTTTGCCGAATATGAAATTCTTATTATGCAAGGACGTAGTACTTATAATACTAATTTAAAACTACAGTTATTTTGTTTAATTACGTGTTGTTGAAAAGGGAAAACTGCAATCTGATCAAAACTATGTATGTACTTAAAGTGACTTCATTTTTCCCAGTAAACAGGTATGCGCAATAAAATTAATTGGAGGATAGTTTTCTGGACACTTTAATTCGGATTTGACTTTGGTAGAACCTACACCTACACATGTACCAGTAGCTACCACAGTATTTTTGAAGTACTGAGGCGTGTTTATCAATTCGCATAATCTATACTGGTAATAAAATCACTACTCGTACCAGAGAATACTATTCATTATACTTTCGATTGCAATCATACCAACGATTTCCTGTTTTAAAGTAGTCTCCAACTGTCATTTTCGTTCTCAACTTGTCATCTTGTTCACACAATTTGTGCAATAAAAGACATTACTAATTGTACTCATGTGCCCTCGGTCGGACGAGTTGCGCAATTAATTTTATGAGACACTGACAAAGCGTCTTGTGGTTGAAATGCATCTTTTTTTAAGTGTACCAATTGTGTCACATGAACGTAAACCATTATTCATTTTGAAGCATGCAAAGTTTACTAATACTAAAAAATAAGTTCTATGCATACAATACCTGAAAATATGTATCGACACCTCTCTCTGAAATCAGGAGCTGTAACCAACTGGTGATGTTGATAATGTTCGAAATTTAGGGATATCGCTTCACATTTGCGGATAAGTCTTTAAATTCTGAGTAACAAAATAAACTATTCTCTTTGCAGGTACAATATATTTTTAGAGTTTACTCTTCCTTATCGCTGCCACAGTTGTACCATTTACCATCAATATAGTGCGTCAATTTATGAAGACGTCGACAGACAAGAAAATTAAGTTGAAAATATTTACTCAGTTTTTAACTTGTGCATATATACACACATGCGATCTTGAGTACACAAGCGCATTCCTGTAATTCCTTCTTCCATATGTACTTACTCTGTTCCAAAACCACCACAAATTTCTCAGTTAGTTCTAACAAAACTGATCGGTTTCCAAGCATTGAAACTTCACAAGGAGATAATTGCTTAACGAACGGAACAGCAAGAGTCAAGCTGAATGGACAGGTTGAGAGTTGAGTGAGGCGACTTTGATTAGAGTTCAAGTTTGATGTCACTGGTGTTAACCTCACAAATACTGCTGGTAGACTGACAGTTCACGACTACTGCTTTATGTCACATTGCTCAAAACCCAATCACAGAACCCTTTCTTTAATGAATTACATTCGTGTGAGCGATAGTGCAGTGACGAGTTGTTCAATAAATTGACTTGACGTTTTTCTGTGGCTGAACCTCCTCGAAGTGATCGAAAGGTAATACATGTATCTCAACATGCACGTGAACAAGTAAAAGTCCCAATAAAAGTCGGATACAGCACAGCACGAACAAAACAACATGTACACGACGCTCCTTTTACAAGCCAAGTTACATATAATACGAGTTTCTACTTCTTTTCAACCACCTTTTGACTTTGCTTGCACTCCTCGTCCTCTCCCTCGATGTCTCACGTCAACTTCCAGTTTGGAATGAGATGGAAGAATGATAGCGAATTTCC